GAGGAAGTCCAGCCAGTACTAAGACAACAGCAGTCAGCAAAAGTCATTCAATATGTTTTTCCTTGGGCTCATTCTTAAGTTCAAGTTCAACTCAGAGTCACCTAAAACGGTTCTGCTTTCTTCTTCTCCAAATATTCAGTTCTAGAGGGAAGTAATATACAAATTTCCCACTAAGATTTTTACACACAAACATACAAACCAATCCACATCATTTGCAAGTGTTTTTCCTCTAAAATAGTCTTTAGTACATAAATATACATTGAAATCATTCCAAACCAGGTTATGCCTAGGATGCTACACAAAATAGGGAAAAATTTAAGCCTCACCTAAGTATGACCGACTGAATCAGCTTTTGGTTTGTAATCCAGCTCCTGAGAGGACATCTATCACCACAGATGGGTGAGGGTGGCCAAAGAGATGAGATACCACATAGGATCTATACGGAGAGGTGGAGTCAGAGCCAGCCTTCCCATAAAAGCTGGAGCTACACCAGCCTCCTCATCCAATGCCAGCACAGAGATCAGCAATGTCTGAGGATGGCTGATCTGCTCACAGTTGAGGCCACTCCTCCCACTTCCAGGGCCAGCCTCTGTGTGCGAACATTCCACCAAAGGGGCCAAAGTAGCTAACTTCCTTGATCACCACAGGAACAGAGCAAGGCTGTTCCGTGGCCTCTCTCTCTGCTACAGCACTCCCCAGTACCTCTCAAGGCCTCTAGGCCCTGCCAACCCATCGGGATCATCCTGCTTCCTCTTGTGTCTATTTCTGTCACTTGCTTAGAGTCTAGGATAGGAGTAAGGAGTGGGGGGCCAGGCTTTGGTCACCTTTTATCAGCGAAGTCTAACCCAAGACCTCTCGGAGGAGAAGGTCTCTACTCGCAATTTGTTAGAGAGGTCCAAAAATGAGCAGTGGCTTGGGTGGCCCCTGCAATCTGTCTTGCTGTCCCCGGGAGCTATGATTCACTACTTACAGCATTGCCATTTTCAATGGACACCTCTGACGGCCCAGGCCCTCCCACTCCTGAAGTCACCGTGTCTGGCTGCTGCTCTAATTGATGTGAAGCTAGCTCCACCTTGCACTTTGGGTATTTTTTTTTTTTTCTGAAAGGAAGCCCCTCCTCTTTCTCTCCCTGGGCCTCATACTGCATGCAGCCCTCTGACCAACCTGCTGCTGTGTCTGCCAAGTTCACAGCCAAGCATGCCCAGCTCAGCAGAACTAACACCAAGGCGGGCACACTGGCCCCGAGCCAGACCCTCGCTGTTAGGAAGCCTCAATTGTCATATAATGTTAAGTAGGCTTATAAAATACCTGGTGAAATGGCTCCCCGGGTAGAGAGGCCTTCCTTCTAACAAGCAGGCATTGGGGACTGAACATTTTACCTGTGCAATGGTACCTCTTCTTCAAGGCCAGCAGTACTCAACCTTCCTAATGCTGCACGCCCCAATTACAGTTCTTCGTGTTGTGGAGACCCCCCCCCAATCATAAAATTATTTTCGTTGCTACTTCATAACTATAAATTTGCTACTGTTGTGAGCCATAATGTAAATATCTGTGTTTTCCAGTGGTCTTAGGTGAGCTTCTATGAAGGAGTCATTTGGAAAAAAAACCCAAGGTTGAGAACAACTGTTTAAGACAAACTATTGGTGAAATTATGGCTACCCGCTACAACAAACCCTTTAAAAGGCAATGTGGGAATATCTTCTTGTAATTCCCTAAACACCTAGCACTGAGCTAAAAAACTACCACATCCATAGACATTTCTCAGCCACAGCTTCATAGTGACAGGTGTTACATCACATAGTGATGGCCTTCCTGTGTCAGGTCCCATCCAAGCCACACTGCAGGCCTTAGGAAGAAATCACCCAACTAGCAAGTGACGACTCTAGAATCCAGATCTCTGGGACACCCATGGGGCCCTTTCCACGGTGTGACAGACACCATGCAACCAAAGCTTGTTGCAACAAAGGATAAGCAGATACGAGTCACCCTGACACCATCCCTTTCTGCTCCCCAGACCTCAGCACGATGGCTTCAGTTCACCGGACTCCTGAGGAGACAGTGATGAGGTTTCTGATTTTTCCCCATGATCTATGATGTCTGCTGCCAGGGAGGCAGTATTCAGTGGCAGCTTCCCAGTAAAACTGATGAGTGTAAATCACATCCTCTAAAAAAAATGGGGGCTGTTATTTTAAAAAAAGAACCAACAAATGAAAAACATCAAAACAAAAACTTGAGTAGGTAACCCCAGTTGGAAAACTTTTCCAGGGAAATCTGTCAGACAGACTGCTCTTCAGTCTTCTCTGTGAGCAAGCACAAGAACCATGTCATGGGAGAGCATGGCGCTGAAAGGCTGTTTTTGCCTTTGTGAGTTCCCCCGGCAAAGGCTCGGGTGAGCAGGGTGGGTGTGCTGCCATTGGAGCTCCAGCAGAGCAGCGGGCCTCACCCGGGAAGCCACTTGATAATTTCTCAGAATGAAGAATTTTGGAAAATTTCAGCAGCAAAACAACTTGAAGGTCTGGAAATTGGCCTTAAAAATTAACAGGTCTACAGATAGTTTCTCATAAAATGCCAAGGTTAAATAAAAGGAGTCAATCCCTTCATTGGGGGGAGGGGGAGCAGACGCTCTCTTCCTGCAAAGGGACAAGGCCTTGATGTCTCAACCATTTTGTGTGTGTGTGTGTGTGTGTGTGTGTGTGTGTGTGTGTGTGTAAGTCATGCAGCTCCACCTAACATCCACTTGGGCTATTTGTCCCCGAAGCACCGAACCCACATTCCAGAACAGAGGGCACATCATCTTCATTTTAGGCAACAGGCCCACATTCATTTCAGATTCACTGAACAAACCCCAAAGTTCACAAGCTCTGTGCTAAGAGCCAGAAATCTATCTAGCATTGGATTTATTATACATAAGTACTTCTCCCAAAGCTGGCAGTCTCGCTACATTAAAAGGACTCTTACTGCAATCTCCCCCAAGACAGCAGCAAGTACAGCCCTAGACGAGGAATTTAAATACAGTGAGCACCTCACTTTCAAAAGAGGAGAGAAGCCACTTTACATATTGCCAGACAAAACCCTGTCCACAGGAGGTCCCTTTCTACAATGAGGTTGCAAAGGTGTTAGAAAGAGGCCAGTTGGGAGAGATAGAGGGCCATTTGGGCACACACACACCCCCACTGACCCGAGCTTTTCTTCTTGAAGTGTCTAAAGTGTCTCCCTACCTGAATGACAATGTGTCAGGATCAGATTTCACCTTTTGTCAAGGACCAGGGTGAGAAACAGTAAAACCGCGGCCGCCAGCATCTTATAAACGGCAAGCCTTTAGCTTACAGGAAGGGGAGGGGTTGCCATCCCTTGTCCCGCCCTAGAGATGGGGTGAAGGTGGCAAAGGCCGCCTAATCATGAAAGCAGAGCCTCAAATTGCCACACATGAAACCCCTTGTGCTAAAAGGGGGTCCTCTGTGGGAAAACACAATTCTGTGTGGGTCTAAATTAACGCACTCACCAGTGCAAAGCAAATCTGGAAGTCTTTCATTGCCTCCGAAAAGCCTTTCAACTCCTAGAAGGTCAGGGAGTCAGGAACCAGAAAATGCACATGGAAGAAATGAAAACTGAGCCTGAATCTAAACAAGGTGATAGGAAGTAATCGAAAGATGAACTTCAAAACAGTAGCTGTTATGGTGGAAATAAAGAAAACCTCCCTCCGTTACATGCCAGGCCCGGGTTTCTGCAAATAAGTGAAAATGTACCACTCCTAGCAGAGCTATCAGACCACCTTAGAAAAGCTAGCGTGGAGGAGACCTATGGAACTTGCTTTAAGCAAACTGCAACAACCTCTTAGGAGGCCTGGGTGGGAGTAGGGTTTAAAAAGAAAGAAGCCGGCAGAAACCTGAATCCCAAAGAGAAGCACAACACCTCGCCGGTGGGTGGTGGAGTGGTCACTCTAGGTTTCGAAATCAGAAACCTATTGAGACCACATTCCTAAAAACTTCGGTCTTTCGAAGACCAATTCCGGTCACCATGATTGCAGACATGCAAGGTCTAGAGAACTAGGCTGTTTCGCCGGTTTCGTACTCCGGATGGCATCTCATCAGTTCTTAATTGAGTGGGCCTTCTTCGCCAAGATGAGAATAACGGCGCGATAGGATCTCCAGGTGGTTGCTGTCTAGCAATTTTTACAACTGTGGGTTTTTAGTAGCATCGTCAGAAATTCTTATCAGCCGAAGGCAATTAATCTACAACCCTGGAAAGGCCGAAGCGGTAAACACTGGGAAAAATGGAAACCCTATTCACCTTGTCCTTCCTCCTCCCAGCAAAGGTACACACAATCCAAAAATTACACAACGGACTGCACGCGACCGAGGGCCGCAAGAGTGGAAAGCAACAAAAAGAGTCCCCACAGAGACTAGAGCGGGGATCCGCCAGGCCAGCCCGTCCCCTCCCCCAAAGCGGCGGGCAGGGAGAGCAAGCCCCGGCTGCTCGGCAGCCCGGACCCCCGCAGTCCTGCGGCCCGCGGACACTCTACCTTCCCTCCCTCTCCCACCCTTGTGCCAAGGTTCTCCAGGACGCCGGGAGGTTTCAAGGGGGAGGATTAGGGAGCCTTGGAGAATGCCTGGAGTCAGGCGGGACGCGCTGCCTCGGGATGGGGACACAAAGAGGGAAAGGGAGTTTGCAGGAGTGACGGATGAAAACAAATCTGCAAAGGAAGACAGTGCAAGCTGGGGAAGGAGATGAGGGTAGAGAGGAGAATCCCTAGCAAACATAATGGGGCCGGGGCCAAGGAGAGGGGGGGGGCTGTGCTAGGGAAAGTGGGTGAGGGGCAAAGGTTCTGCAAGGGAGGGCAGCGGCAGATGAGTACATGGGACAGACAGGATTCGATGTGGAGGAGTCTGCAGGAGACGAGGGGTCCCGTAGCCTGCAAGAGCGCTCAGTGCAATGCCCTGGGGGCTCTGTGCATCGGGAGAGCACTGCAAGAGAGGCGACGCGGAGAGAGGGTCGCTTACCTGCATGGTGACCACCCCTAGCTCCTCGGCCGCCAGCCTCCGCATCTGGCTCGCCAGCACTTGCGCCTCGTCCAGGATGGAGAAGTCGGCGTCGGCCACGGCGCCCAGGATCCAGCATGCCACTAGGCAGAGCAGCCAGAGGGGCGGCCGCGGGGCCCCAGGCCAGCCAGGGCAGCGGGGACAGCGGCGAACCAGAGCGGCTGGCCTCACGGTCTCCTCTTCCTTGGGCTCGCGGGCCATGCCGCCTCCGGCCACTCCCCGCCGACCGGCTCCGGGCGCTGGCCGAGGGAGGCGCAGCCCGCCAAACTTTCC